AGATAGAGGATGGGGGGGGGGGGATGTGATTGCTTGTTCTTTATTCCAATCTCTTCACCAAAACAAGCAGTTAACCCTTGCAGTGCAGAGGTAGCACCACTGCAAGGGTTAACTTTTAAAAAATCCTGGAGATGTATCAGTAACATTTAGGGCCCATTCACACTACATCCAGATCATCTCCAGACCAGACCAGACTGTTTCCGGACCCATAATGCATCCTAACGTATCCCTATGCTATTTCTGGCCTCTGTTCACACCAGCACAGTCCGTTCCAGACCAGAAAAATACTGCATGTCTCATTTTGTCTGGGCTGGAATGCACCGGAACTGCCTGCAGGTTAACACCATTTTCGGGACCAGATCTGGACTGGAAAATGATGTGAACCTGCCCTTAAATACACCTATCACTTTATTTTAGTGTGATGACCTACTGCTTTGTGTTTGGTCAGGAACATAGATGGTGAGGGATGTGATCACAGCACTTAGGTGTAGGAACCCCACAGGACACGCCTTCCAAGCAAGCCGGAAGTATACACGGAGCCGTACTAATTGGGTGAGAGAAGAAACTCGTGTTCAGGACGCTGAAGGCAGCTTGAATAAAGGGACCTGTGAAGGTCTGTCTAATCACCACTACTAATTATAGGTTTGAAAGTGTTCTCCTGCCTGGAATTTGGCTTTAAATTGTATCTATGGTAAATAACTGAGAATAAATCTGTATTTCTATAGGTTTTATACTCCTAATAACCATATCCATCTAGATGTTTGTATACCTTATTACCGAAGGTGTCCATAGGATCTACTTCATCAATGCCCTGACACATTTTCATTCAGCCCTTTGAATATGCACTTATGTGTCAGCTCTCACAGCTCTACCTTCTGAACTACAACTCAATATCTGAACAATGTGACATTATCATTGCTTGCTGGAAGCAATGCATGATGGGAAATGTAGTCTTGAGAAATTGAGATTTCATCAGATTAAGCAGCAGGGAAAGAAATGCAAAGCACACTGGGAATCCAGGAAGTTGTTGGAAGTGACGGGCAGACAGAAGGCGGCACTCACTACATAAAAGAGATTTTTCAAGTAAGCTTTGATTGCATTATCAATAACAACTCTACTATGTATTCCTATTACAATGCTGATGTTATAACAGGAGAGGATATGCTGGGACTTTACAACTCCTTTATGTGTTACATGCAGTGAACCTGAAACAGTTCCATAATGAAGAAGCAACACTCTTAGATGGTTATAGAACAGGTTTAATATTCTTCTGTATTAAACAATTTACACTGTACACACTGACAATATCTGTATTTCATGCAAAAACACACTAAAATAGTCATAAGATCAAAGCCCTTCCACCCCAAAAACCAAGGAGAAAGGGATGTGCGTGCAAAAGGAATTTCAGCTTCAAGAATGAAGACTGATTCTCAGTTTATTATCAGGTAATGGAGGAGCACACAGGTGCTTGGGATTAATCGCTGAAAGTAATAATCGATCGCTATACGCATGGCTCCTTATGGTACGAGCTACACAAGTAGTATGTAGTAGTGACTATAATTGATTAATCGCTACTAAATGCTACTTATAGGGTGCCATTCATGGCATCTGTTTAGCAATTAATGACTATTCCTTATAATTAAAGTAGATGTAAACCCTAACTGTATGACACTTAAGGTGCCCATACACTTTACAACCCTCGCAAGACTTTTGTCTTGCGAGGGTTGTAAAGTACTTAAAAAAAACGTACGATCTGCCCATCTTAGACAGGCAGATCGTACTTGC